GCATGAGCCACAGTGTCCAGCTCAGCTCCAGTTTAGAGGATGTTGTTGTTTTAGTTGAACAGTTATAAATACATATTGTTTTAGTTGAACATTTATTGTAGAGCATTATTTTGTATGAACTATGCCAGATCCTTCATATGCTGTGGACTGTGGAGCTTGTCTTTAGAACTTTGTCTTGTACCCCAGCTCTGGTCCCTGTGCCCTGAAGGAAAGGTACATTGGTTGTGGTGGACTCAGTCTGAGGCCTGCGACTCTAGGTTAATTATTAATCGCGAGGAAGCTTGCAGTTGGTGATTTGCAGTTCTTAGTTTTCACATAGTATTTCCACTTAGTAGAATAGTAGCTTACAGGCTTTCAAATGAGAATCTAATAATGTCATTGTAAACTGCAGATTCCCTGGCTCCAACTGGACAGATCCCCACAATTGTTGTGTTGTGTTGTTTTGTTGCAACGGGGTCTCCCTATGGAGTTCAGGCTGCTCTTGAATCTACTGTGTAGCCCAGACCGGCCTCGAACTCACAAGGTGATCTTCGTGCCTCAGCTGCCCCAAGTGCTGGGATTACAGGCGTGCACCACTGTGCCCTCCCTTCTTTTAAGATACTCTTGAATACATTCTTTTACCTTCCCGCCAGTTCCCAGATGTTACTGGTATGTTTTTTCCTGATCTATTTGTCGTAACAGTCCTTCTGCTGTTACTACACTGTCCCTAGACCGCCTGCTCCTCCTGCCTGTCTCAGTTAGCTTTTGTTGGGTAGTACCACATCGCTTTAAAACATAGTGCTTTATGGGGGTCAGGGAGATGGCTCAGTGGAATAAGCGCTTCCCTGGCAAGCACAAGGGCCTGAGTTCAATCCCTGGTTCCGCAAAAAAAAAAAAATAGTGCTTTAAACAACCACCATTCATTTATCCGGCAGTGCTGTGAGGTATTCGTTTGGGGCTGGGCTCAGGACAGTTGTGCTGGTCTTCCCTGGGTTCGTTTCATCCATCTGCAGCCAGCTGGACAGCTGCTCCAGCCAGCCTCTCATCCATCATCCAGTGAACGGGGCTCTGCTCATTCACACGGGGCCCAAGAGGTCCAAACCACTGTGCTCACCACCTTTGCTAACAGTGACTTACGTAGCCAGTGCTGATGGGGGTGGGGGGGAGAAATAAGTAAACTGCCTTTTAGGGAGAGGGTCTGCGGTGTCCCCCGCAAGGGCATGAAGGGGGGGATAACTGCTTGTATTCTAGCATCATCTCTTCCTGTGAGCTCTGCCAACTAGGTGCTGACTACTGCCCCACCTCCTGCTTCCTGCTGGCACGTTCATTTTCCTTATATGGAGTTCCTT